GGGGGGGGGGGCAGCCGACTCCGGCCAGGGTGCACGCAGGAGGAGTCTAGGTGAAGGACTGTGGCCACTGCCCTCTACCACCACCAATGGTCAAAACAGATGAAGTCCTTGGGAGGTACCGTGAAACAGTCCATATACTGGCTCGTCCCTGTTTTAAGAATGGCACAGGTGATCCTGAGCCTTGCAGTCAGACTAACTCCCTGCAGAAAAATGACCTTTCTTTACTGAATGAGCCTTCACACCCCTAATGCACTCTGTGCTGAGCCTTTCAGGTTGCCCCGGACTGGAGCTTTTCCCACAGATGCAGCAAGACCAGGATGCCTTCCAGAAGCCAGCGGGAGGGGTTCCATTTGCCAGATGCTAGCCAGCAGCCCGCGGCAGCCGGCCTGCCCCTCGGTCAGGGCTGGGGAGGCTGCGGGGGAAAATACCCTGCCGGAGACCAAGGCTTAGGAGAACCTGTAATTGCTGTTAGGGGACCGAAACCCTAGAACCCTACTCACCCAGCATCCTTCAGCTCTAACCTGGGAACACCTTGCGCAGCCACAGGCAAGGGTGCCGGGAGGGTGACACGCACTTATTTGCTGATGTTCCTGAATGAAACCCATTAGGTAATTTCCCACGGGTTGTATACGGAGTAATAGCTGCTGTGAGCTGTTGCTCAGTGAGCAGGGGGCACAGAAGAGCCTGTCTGAGCAGCTATAAATCATTTTAATTAGGCTGCTGCAACACGGGCCCGAACTACCATTAGCCTTTCTGATTATTGCTCTAAATTGATTTCTTTTCCCACCTCTCATTTTACACTTAGTTTTTAAGGGAATGGTAGGCTATTGCTTACTCTGGGAAATCGACACAGTTGTGAAATTCACTCAGCCGCGCTGGAGACTCAGGCTCCTGCTCTGCTTCTTCCAGGCCCCCTCTAGCCATCTTCAGAATCAGTTACTGCCCCCTCTGCCCTCTCTGGGTATTTGTTCCTACCCCTGTCACAGAATGTATAACCCTCTCGGCAACCAGCATGTTTGTGTTCATTGGTTTCTCTCCCTGAGCAGACCAGGGGTCACGGCCCGTGGGCCAAACCTGCCCTGGTTTCACATGGCTCACAAACTAAGAATGGTTTTTACATTTTTTAAGTGGTTAAGGGGGAAGAAAGAATAATATTTCATGATGCCAGAAAATTATACAGAATTCAAATTTCCATTTCCGTAAATAAAGTTTTATGGGAACACAGCCGCGACCACCTGCTTACGTGTTACCTGTGGCTGCTTTCACACTGACACGGCGGCACTGAGCGGCTGTGACAGAGCCCGTATGGCCTGCAAAGCCTAAAATATTTACTATCTGGTCCTTTACAGGAGTGTGGTAACCACTGGAGCAAACAGATTATACGAGTCTCAGGGGTTCTCCTGTTTCTTCTTCTCCCCAACAGCACCAAAACCTGCAAACACTAGGAACATGCCGAACGTGGGATACAGAATTTGGACTCACACTGACTTGAATTTGACCTGAAATCTCTGCGCAGTTGTTGCTTGACCTTAAGCAAGCGATCCAGCCTCTCTGAAACTCAGCTTCCTCACCTGTAAAATGGGCCCAATGCAATCAATCTCCCCCAGAGAGAATGGCCCAGGCCAGCTTCTGGCTGCTTCTGCCAGGAATCCGACAGAGCCACAGCCCAGGGAGGCGGGATCAGCAGCAGCTCGAGGACCAGGAGGCCCTGCCCTGTGAGCTGTCCTCAGGGGCGCCGTTGTCCACCTGTCCCATCCATCACGTCATTACCCCGCACCCCCGAAAGGAGCCTCTCCCCGGGGCGACTCCACTCACCGTTCTGCTGCTTTTCTCCTGCCGACTTCTCAGCTTTGGAGTTTTTCCCACGAGAGCTGTCGCCTTTGCCGGGGCGCGCGCCGTTGACCTGGTTCTGAGCCTCCCCGGGGGTCGCCTGCTCGGCCGCGCCCCCACCGGCCTGGCTGCTGGCCTCCGCCGCCAGGCGCGCCTCCTCCTCCGCCTCTTTCTTGGCCTTCTCCTCTGGGTCGGCGACAAGCGACGGGCGAGGGGAGGGACAGACAGACAGGTCGGCCGTTAGGACAGCGGCCTCTGCACAGAACCCATCACCGGCCCTGGTAGTAATGCACTAAAATGACCTAAGGTGCTCCAGAGGGCTTGGGGTTTATTCTCAGCTCATTCAAGTAAGACTGACATTTATATTCAGGAAATAAACAAAAGCGAGTCATGGTTATGTCATTTCTGAAATCAGCGGGCTAGGAGACAGGGAGAAAGTAATCGTAACAATCAATAAACCAATATTGTAATTGGCATTATTAATAATGTTATTATCATCAATAGCCTCCCATCAGTGTGCCCTCTCCGCCAGGTTTTATGCTAAATCCTTTCCAAGCATTATTTCCTTTCATTCTCAAACAACCTTACGTGGTAGCTGCCACTATTGTAACCCTACTTTACAAATCAGGAATTGGGGCTCGGGGACCATAAAACTCTCCCACGGTCACAGTAAACACTGGAGTTTCATGGAGGTTTGCTCAGGACCTGGAGTTTAAACATAAGCAATTGATTATAAAATAAAAAGACAGGAAAAATAACCACCTCTAGAATAATACAGCTTCAGGTCACTGGAAAGTTAGAAGTCAGNGGAAAAATAACCACCTCTAGAATAATACAGCTTCAGGTCACTGTAGAGTTAGAAGTCAGAAGAGGGTAATTAAGTCTCTGCAAACGTGATCTGCAAACTGCGCGCAGATGAGATGCGGCACTTGGTTTGCCCAGTGCCCTGATCTGTCTTCCCCTTAACGAGAGGGCGTCAGCGGCTGAGTATGAAAGGGTCTGGCTCTGGGTTTAATCCAAACCATAGCATAGCTGCATCTAGCCGAGTATTCATGAAAACATCGGTTTATTCATTTAGCTAGTATTTCTCGAGCAGCTACGGCGCTGAGCACCATTTCAGGCACCGGGCACGTCGCAGCAAGCAGACCTACTTTCCCAGCAGGATGTATTTAGAATTTACAATGAAAGGTAAAGAAAGACTTCTTTACAAAATAACACAATTATGTGCATATATCGTATAATATGCCTTCTGACTTCTACAGAAAGACACAACTAAAGAGTAAAAGAACAGGCTTTCAGAAGATGGTGAGACGAGCCAGCATTCTCTGCAGGCTGCAGGGCCACAGAAAGCCTGCTGGAATGTTCGCCCAGCCTTCCTCTCCTCCTTCTGCAGTGCCTGAGGGCAAGGTCAAAAGTCCTATCTGAAAGACTTAGATATGTGACAGATGGTAGTTTCCTTAACCAGTAACATAGGTGAGAAAAAAGATGACTGTTGTGACTATGCAGAGAGGGAAACTGAGGCATGGGGCGAGAGAATTCATTCATACTCAGGCTTCAGATACAATACTTTATAATGTCTTCATAGAAGCCCCAGTGAGTCTGTGTCAACCTTTCAACATTCAAAACATCCCCAAGTTAAAAATAATTTTGATTAAAAAAACTGAAGGTGTTAAAGTCTGGTTTGCTACAAAACAGCATAAAATATTGTCTAAGCAAGAAAAATTCACTTGACAACTGAGTCAGACCAATTTTCTACGGGAAATCTAGCAAAAATGAAAGCTGGGCAAGGGGTACCTTTCAGAAACAAATCTGTTTTTTGCTCAACTACAGTTGACAGCAGGCAATTAATGTTTAAATTAATGAATGGCAGCTCTTAGGACATCATAATCAACTCCGATCCGGGCTGGCCCCACTCTGGGATTCCTTTCCCCGCAGCAATCTCACTCCAAGTGGATGGCTCTGCATTGCCCTTCACCTTCCCCACTTCCACCTCTTCCTCATATTTCTGAAATACCTGATATTAGTCTGATCAACCATCAGCACTTAAAGTGGTGCTACTCAAAATAAACACATCAAGGAGAAAAAAAATTAAATCAACAGGAGGTAGGTCTGTTCCACGGTAACCAGATTCCCTTATATTTTCAGGGTGAGATTATTAATACACATAAAATTTTTCTACGATGAGAAAAAGTAGGTGAGAGCACAATTAATCTGTATGCGCTAAAAGATTCCAGCGATGGCACATGTGCAGAAAATTAACTTTTTGGGTCTTAGGCTTAGTAGTATCCTTGGCACCCTGGGTCTCTAGACTAGCAGAAAGCAAACACGTGGTTCGAGCCCATGTAAGACTATCTGTGATGTGAGTCCTTTTGGAATGGCCAAAAGCAAGCAGCTAAAGAGTTAAAGTAGAGCAGAGCCCTCGTGATCCATAAATTACAGTCCTCCTGAGAGTNTAAAGTAGAGCAGAGCCCTCGTGATCCATAAATTACAATCCTCCTGAGAGCTGCTTCTACCCCACACTGAATGTCCGTGCAGTTTTGGAGAAATACATTGATTTCTTCATTTAATTTGCCTTTCTGAATAATGATACTATAGGCACTTGGTTAAAATAGTATTGGGCTGACTACCCCTTAATATAATTTTCTGAAATGCCTTCTTAAACTACTTACAAACCGAGAGAAAGAAAAAGAGAAAACTACTAACTGAAAGAATTATCCAGAATACTTAATGGATTTTGAACAGTCAACTCTCAGTTATTTACAATGCCAACAGAAAGGTGCTTCTAGGCGTCTAAGGACTCAGGTGTGCCCACTGGTCCTTTCTAAAAGTGCAGGAGCACTCCAGCTAACAGGAAAATTCAATATTAAAAACTTCAGAATAAGGAAAAGATGTTAACACTGTTCAATAAAACTAGTAAAGCTTAGTGTTTAAAGGTCATTGCTGTCAAGCTAGAAATAAAACTTGATTCAAATACTTAAAATAATGTTAAACTATAATTACAAAATAACAATTTACTTATAATCTCCTAGATTGAAAATCTCATTGCAATAAAAATTGACAAATATGGAGAAAGTAAAAATTCCATAAATTTCTCAGCATTTGCAAAGGAGTGCCATTACGCACTATTTGATATTTACAATGATAGAAGCACAATTCAATAAAAAAGTGATGGTGATCTCTAGTAAAATAAAAACAGGATGTAGTTTAAAAGACCATAAGCAAAGTTCAAAGGCGTATGACAAACGGGCAGGGCAGAAATTGCAAGATATTTTGTCAACTGAAAAATGACCAGTCTTAATATATGAGGAGTTATTATGAATCAATAATAAAAATATAAACATCCTAATAATAAATATGAAGAGGAAAATATGGGGAAATAGGCATTCTCACTATACTTCCACTGGGAGGGCACACAAGTTTTAATAAAAAAAAAACTTTTTGAGAAAATGTTGCTAATAGATAGCAAGAGCTTTAAATATTTTTCATTTCTTTTGACAAAAGAATTCCACATGTAAAAATTTATCCTAGACAATCAGAGGAAGGCTCAGAGACTTCTGAACTCATATGTTCATAAGGATGCTATAAACAATAATGAAAAACTGAAAACAAAATGCACAACAGAGGAATGGTTCGACTATGGTATTACATACAATGCAGCCATTTAAATCATGCTTTCTAAGACTATTCAGTATCAGAGTAAAATGCTCAAAATAGAAATACAGAAGTAAAATACAAGACAATATTCTACTATATTCCCAATTTATGGGGAAATTTTTTACTCGTATCAGTGCATGGTGAATCAAATAAAAAAGAATCACATTGGAATTTCAACAATAGTTATATCCGGCTAGAGAGATTATAAGTGATTTTTATTTTCTTTCTATATCTATTTTTTATTTGTATTTCGGCATTACAACCTAAACATGCATTATTCTTACATCAGAAAAACAAAACAAAACGAAACAAGGTTTAAAAAGTACTAAATAATGAATGGAAATTGTTCAGCATTGGTCAGACCTATACATCTTTGTTTGGCTATAAAAAATATTGATTTAATTTTTCCTAACAGCTATGGGCTCTGTGTGGTCCATAGCTTTGTAAATCACACTGGTTAATAAAACCAAGACGTTAGGTCCAATCCCATTTCTGGTCTCCGAGTCAGCTCTATAATGTGTCTTCTCAGCCCCCAAATGGAACTCGCTCAGAAAATCTACCTGCACTTGCCCAAGAGCGCAGGTGAGGGGGATTCAATTCGCCCTCACCCCGCTACCTGGCGTTGGCCCGACAACCAGCCGATCCTCCCACGAAATATGCATGACCCGGGGCCCTGCCTTCCCCCTGCTCCCTGTTCCCTGTTTCTAAATACAACCCCTCCTTCTGGCTCAGCCTGGGTACTCCACAAGTCCTGGCTACAGAGGCCTTCCCAGTGCCCCAAGTGCCCCAAGCAGGAGGAGGGACAAGCCCTTTCGCGCTTCCCAGCTGGCTGAAGCAGGTCTCTGCGAGCATTCCTGATAGATGTAATAAATCTTAGCTCTTTGTGTACCTGTCCTTTTCCAAGGCCCCCGGTAAAGAAGGCGCCCACCGCTCCCCCGGGTGATTAGTTTCGGGAGGTAATTTTAGAAAGGCAGGTCATTGCAAACGGATGACGGAGCTACCTCTTGAAATTGCGCGTTGTCGGGAACCGGGTTTGCGAGCGTAATGAGTGTAACCGAGTGTGGGAGCGTGCTTCCTCGGAGACGACGGACACAGAGGCTGCTGTCCCCGCTTGCAACGCCCGCCACCAGGGGGGATTTAAAGGTTGAAGGCGTCTGAATGGACTGGGAGAGGCTACTTTTAAAATACGGATGAGGCACTGGCTCCCTCCAGAGTTCAGGGTGCAACATTTGTCCCCAAAATGGTAAGGGCCCAAAGATGCCTTAACAGCACCACAAATACAAGCCCGTTGCCCCGCCGGAAATAGGATCGCTACCTGGATAGGATTCTGCGGATAAGTCACAGTGGTTGTTCTTTGAATAACTCCAGCTCCAAGTGAGGTCCCTTCGCTCCCACACTGGAGCAGCACCCCGATGTACGAGGGACAGGGACGGCCAGCTCATGCTCTGCCCAGCCCCCCCTTCTCCCTGTTGTGCAGACACGGTGGATGCAAGCATGGAGCATTGTGTTTGGGGACGACACCCTCCTTGCCNGCAAGCATGGAGCATTGTGCAGTGAGGGTGACTCGGGGCTGGTGGGTTTCGGGCGACAAGAGCAAGGCCTTCACTAAATTCCCGTTCTTCCTTTGAAAGAAAGTCTGCAGCGATGTCCCCACCCCCCGGGAGACTGTGAGCTTTGAGGACAGGATGTCTGTCACTCATCTCTGCACCCCAGGCACAGAACCTGGCACACAGTAGGCGCTTGACAGATGTCAGCAGAAGATGACTGCTGTTGGGGGCTCACCTCCACAGATCCAATGGGGTCAGGCCCTTCACGGGGCACTAAGAGCCATCGGGGCGTCACAGCTTCATACCCCTCATCTGGGGGACACGCCCTCACCTAGACTACAGTAGGAGCGCATAGTATGTGCTGACCACGTAGCACCTGCTCCCCAAACACGAATGCATGGCGCACAAATGAATCTCAGCTCTCGAGAAACACAGGCGTCAGTCATCTTTCTGTGCGTCGTTCTAAGAGGCATGACTTTCCTGATCTGAATTTTGATGATGTTTACTTCAGCCAGCTTCTGTTTACATGCAAGTTACCGTCATCTCGGAAGGTCGGTCTGAGTAATGACTAAAGGGAAATNGTCATCTCGGAAGGTCGGTCTGAGTAATGACTAATGGGAAACTGTGAACTTGGAAGGAAAATAACAGCGCTTGTCAGAAAATTGCAACTCCTTGGGTCCCAACACAATGGCGGCGGCTTTGGACAGGCTGTGCTCAGGACGAAAGGCCTCAGGGCTGTGCCTCACGCTATGAAATGAGTGACGTGATGGTCTCGCAGAAGCCGAGAACCAGCAACACCCACCCTCCATTCCCTTCAGACCAAGAGGAGTGCAGTCACCCGGCACCAAGGTCAGGCTGTCGGGAGGCCTGGGGGTCTGCATCACCCTACCGCGCATCGAGTTTTAGATAAACTGAGGATCAAAAGAGGGCGGACACTTTCCCAAACTGGTAGCTACGGCACAGTCACAGCCACGTAAAGCTCACACAGGGAGTAGTGAACACTAAGAACTATGTGTTGGGCCGGGCGGGTACTAGACCTATCGGGGGATCACTTTGTAAGTTATATAAATGTCTAACCACTATGCTATACACCTGAAACCAACATAAAATAATATTTAATGTCAACTTTAATTGAAAAATGAAATTTAAAAAGGGGTAGGTGCTAACATTCGGCAACTTGAGTCTCTATCTCGAGACTCTGCTTCATCTGCAACACCTGTGATTCAGGGGTGGCAATGCCTTGTGCATGAGTGGGTGCTGGGCGGTTCGCACAGGTCTCCTGGAAGATCCCCGGGGGGTGGCAGGTTACCTTTGGGCACCTTGGCCCTCCATCGCTCCCGATTGGTGTGCACGACCTCAGTCCACGTGGCTTTAAAGCTCTTGTAGTCGACAGGGATGACAGCACTGCTGATCGCAGCGCTCCCTTCCGAACCAGCGCTCTTCGCACCCGATCGCTTTGGGTCCGCCGCACTGAGGCTGTTCAGGCTGCAGGGCAAAGAAAAATCACACGCACGCAATCAGTCAGGCAAGATGGGTTGGAAGCGCCGGGCTGGTGTTTGGAAAACGTAGGCCCGTGAGCAAACCCAAACAAGGAGCGGTTAGCGCTCAAGTTATGCCATGAAATTCCTCGGTCCTGAGGTTTGCAGTTCTTATTTTCCATTTGTGACAGGTGGAAAATTCTGTATTTTCAGCAGGAAAAGAAAATCAGTATTTCAGCCTCCTGAGTCGCGATGTTCCCAATATTTTGTTGTTGTTGTTTATCAGCAGCCTCTTTTTCTATATGGCTAGAATCCCCAAGTGATTTTTCTGTCCTCGATTTTCTGAAATTAACTACTTTGAACTTGAGCTTCAACTTGGTCCCACAGTTCCTCCACCTGCTTCCTCACTGACTACTATTCCAAGTAACTCAGCCACTCAGTCCTATTTCTCTCCAGCCCTGCCTCCCCCTGCCCTTGGGGGCCTCTGGTCCCAGGCTCCCCGAGGCCGGCGCAGGGTGATTTCCTTACGTTCCTGGGGGAAGGTGGAGAGGCAGAGGCCGTTCGGAGACCAGTCATGCAAGAGACCTTTTTTTATATCAGCATCACATTACGCATTAAACATGGGCAGATTTAGAAAGTGCCGTCCCTCTGGGTAACTTCAAAGAAAAATAGCTCACGCTCCGGGTGGCTAAGCAGGGACTGGAATGAACACAAGCCCACCGAATGACACCAAGGCTGCCCAGACAAGCAGGGGACATTTCAGCCCAGTGTCTGCAGAGCTGGGGCTGTGGGGCTCAGGCAGGGTCCTCCGCCTGGGCAGCCTCGACTGGGTCTATCCACCTTGGGCGTCCCTGGGGTCCCACTGTCCTAACATTCCTCTTGCCTTCCCGCCTCCCTAGTTACTCCACCTCTCGCTCTTTTCTTCTCTTTTTTGTTTTCACTCCATTCCTTTCCTTCCTGCTCTACGACAGCCCCAGGTTTTGCGTGGACAGGAGGAGGGGTAGTAATACAACCAGCAAAGACTAAGTGTCAGCGCAATTGTAGCGCGCGCTTCCTCCGTGCTGGGCCTCGTCGCAGGGCTTTAGCGAGACTGAGTAACCGACAACCCTCCCTGCGACCTATGAGTGTTATAATCCACATTTTCTCAGGTGCGGAAACTGAGGCATCTTGCCTGCGACTGCACAGCTGAGTAATGGGATCGGGGTGTTTAAACCTGCTGGAAGCAAAGGCGCCGAAAGAGGGAATGAGCCGGGGGACAGATGCTCTACAGGGTACCTGCCAGTCATCATTTAGACCACGGTCACCCCCTTCCAGGCCAGCCCGGACAGTCCGAATGGTGTAACCCCCACCCCCCTGAGAAAAGGAAGAGGCAGGCATCTGTCCTTTAGGAAGGAGGTGGCGCAGACATCACGTGAAATACGCCGCCAGCCCTTCCAGAGGAAGGATCCTGTCCCCGGCCCAGGCCGAGCTGACCCCAGCCTCCAAGCCCGCCACTGACCTCGAGCGCCGCTGCCCCGCCCCCGCCGTCTGGGAAGGCTCGTCGATTAGGGGGTTCACGATCTTCTCAGTCATGTCCGTGAGCACCGTGAAGGTGGGCTCCACGATGAAATCGATAAAGCCTGCGGGGAAACAGCGACGCTCCAGAGAAACTACGTGGGAGCCTGGGCCTTCCCGCAGCTCCCCACGCAACCCGACGAGCCTCAGCTTTCCAGAGCCCCCCACGGGAGCCCCGGATCCCATCAGGGACAGCAGGTCGGTCTCGTTCATTTCATCTATTCCTTGATTTGAATATCGTGAGTCAGCGCCATTTCTCCTACAGAATTTTCCTGTCGTTTTTTAGTAGATAGTCCAATAAAGTGCTTAAAAATACAGATTCATCATCTGCTATATGACAAATGCATAAAAGTGTATAAAGAACGTAACGTGCCTGCCCTTGGATCACAGGACAGATTAAACGAGCACAAAAGTGGCCCCTAGAGTATCAGGAAAGAAACAAAGGAGAAGCCCAGTAAATGTCCCTGAGGAGAAATGCCTTGGAGACGTCCAGTGCTGCATGGAAACGGGCTTCCTGCCGCTGGTTCTTGCCACCGCCTTGGAAAGCTGAGGCCCCTTTTTCTCTAGGCAGGATGATGGACCAGCGATGTCACTGTCTGCTCTCCCCGTTTGGGGGGGAAGGGTGGGGAGAGCAGTCCGTCAACCTGCCAAGCCGAAGCCAGGAAGGAGCACTGCAGAGGGAGCCAGGTTCCCAGCAGAGAAGGCCTGGGGGCCTCTGACCTTACGTCCGGACACCCCTCTCCGGTTTTGCCTTCCACCCAGGGCCCGGCAAACACGTACCTACTTGCGACTGAGCAACCATGGTCGACTTCCTGTCACACAGAGGCGAAAAAGGCAGCCCCAGCTCCGCTTCTCTGTCCCCCTAGAAAACAGGAGGCCACAGTAAATGAAGAACGGTAGGCCGAGCCACCCGGATTCTATTTAGCAACTTCACTTGCCACGATGGCCAGTGGCCTTTATTTTAATTATTACAATTACATTATGGAGTAAGTCCTTATGGGGCCTGCTTCTCTGCATAGAAAACACCAAGAGGCTGCAGCCCGCCGGGGCTGATCATTCCATCCAACTACAGACGCCAGGGAGCAACAGGTCCCCGAAGAAGGGAACAAAAGCGACGGGTCCTGTGGCCCAGAGCCAGCGCGCAGTCAGAATCGCTGTGTTTTCCGATTGTCTTGTGCTGATCCCTGCGGCCTTTCTTGAGTCAGTGACTCCCTCCCAGCTGTGGGCAGCTGTTCAAGACACAAATTCAAACTGGCCTGATGCAGATTTCTCCTCCTGTGCCACCCACAACCACGCACAACTGGAGCGCGTGCTTCTGGGCTCTTAACCGCAGGGCCCAGGCCATAAGGAAAAGTGGGCCGAAGAAGCAGAGCAGGAAACAACTGCTTGTGCTGATCGACTTCGACAGTAATAACACGATCCGCAATCTCACCAAAAAGTGTCGCTCTCATGAGCAAGGGCTATGGAAAGTCTAAATAATGATGCAGAGGGTTTTAAAAATCTGAACCAGCATCTCAATACTTCAATCACACACTCTGAGGAAAGGGGCCATATGTCACCCTCTAACAGCAGTGACGCTGTGTTCGTTCGTTTTATTATGAAAGAATCTGCTAAGGTTAATGGCTACTGACTTGGCCTTGGATCTGGCCTACCTCCCACTAGCTGTGTGATCTAAGGAAGTTTACTTTCTCTATATTTCACTTTCAAGATCTATAAAATGCGGGATAATAATTCCTACCTCATGGGGTTACAGTGAGGATTGATTGAGAAAACGTATGCACATATATAAAAAGAACTATGTTTGTTTCCCAATGGGTATCTTCAATATTTAAGTCAAGATCTGAGAAACATTTAGTGAATTTGTTATATTGAATACACTCTGATTATAATAAATACCACCAATAAATTAATAGTAAATAAAGAGTAGTAACAACCTGGTTCAAAAACCAGGCTCAGTTCAAAAACAGTGTTTTTTTCTTTCTAAGGCAGGTTGCCAAAGAGAAAGAAGGCTAGTTCACACACACACCTATGGAAAGGAAGGAAAAGGAGTGGGTGTCTGTGAAAGGTGGGGTCACAATGGGCGCTGGGGACATCCAGGGGTCTCGGGAACAGTCCTGAAGCAGCTCAGTTCCTTCTGCACCCTCCCCTGTATCGACACCCATGGGACACAACGCTCCTGTTTCCCAGGATGCCTTGCTGGAGGCTGCCCTCTCTCTCAAGTGGTGTGATAAAAGTTATTTACTCCCCAGCTACTTCTGCTTGAGCAGGATGAACAGAGAGGATATTCATAACACATTGCAGTTGTGCAGATGGCTGAGTGGCACGCTCGGCTGACGCAAAGCCCACTCTTGCTCCCTAGGAAGCAGGAGTAGCAGCTGTTTTGTTGGTGCCTTTTAATGGGGGTGGTTAAGAAGGGGTGGTGAACACCAACCACTTGATGATTAATATATATGCTTCTTCTTTTCTTTGAGTGTGAGAAGCAGTGTTCTTTTTTTTTTAATTTTTGTTGAGTTTATTGGGGTGACATTGGATAATAACATTATACAGGTTCCAGGGGTACGATTCTATGATACATCATCTGTATATTGTGTTGTGTGCTCACCACCCCAAGTCAAGCTTCCTTCCATCCCCATTCATCCCCCCTTCACCCACCCCCTTTCCCTAGCATTAGTTTGGACTTTATCACTGAAAAAGTACATGTTAAACAGCTTATCCCATGAACTTGCCACACCCACATCCATATAACACATACATCTTTGAGATTTAATTGAGCTGAGTACATGCAACTATTAAAAGCCTATTTTAAAGTAGTGGTCATTGAATTTCTTTTGGAAGACAGATACATTTATGGGTTAGAAAAAAATAAATGTGGAGAAAATGATATGAAAAAATGTACTTCTACCAATAAATGTTACTTGATTGATAGATATTTTATGACTCCATATCTACTGGCCTTTGTGGAATTATTCATATACCTCCCTCTTTACTAAAGAGGTCAACATTTTCAACCTATGACAGATCAATTTTTTTAATGATATATAAAACACCTAAATGACATAATTAATAAGGTAAATGTTCCTGGTATCCTTTGAATTCTATACTCCACAAGTGAGAAATAAAATCTACTTTTCAAGAGCTGTGAACACTCACAAGAATTGATTGTGCTGTAGGTGGCAAACAAATCTCACAATAAAATCCAAACCATGAAAAAATTCTGTGTTCAGATTTCAATAAGCTATAAACTAATTACAAAGCTAGAAAGCAAAAGAACCTACCACTGGGGAGTTGTAAAAACAAACACCTCTATCTGAAGCAACTCTTGGGTATAAATAAAATCTAAACCAAAATTACAGAATACTTAGGAAAGAATGTTTGTGAACCTCTGAGATTCATGACAAGAAAGAGAAAAATGCCCAGCCTTGTATTTTCTAAAATTAAACAGGTAGAACACAAAGAAACGAATGAAGCACCCAACTCAGGGACTTCACAAAAGAACAGAATAAACTCAAGCAGAAGAGATGAATTAATAAAAATGAAAACACCAATTAAGGCATTATAAAATGGGAGGAAAAATGAAACAGTCAGTTAACTTCATAGAGAGGAAATGGGAGAAAAACACTAATATATGAAATGGGAAAATAACCACAGACACAGAGGAAATTCAGAGAATTACAGGAGACATCTACGAAATATAAAAACACACAGCAAAAACAGGAGAAACGAACCTCAAGACTTTTACAACATGCATTTACCAAAAAGGCAAATGTACACTTGTTTAAAGTCAATATTTCATTGAAAAGCACCCTGAGGCAGTGGCTTGGACTTTGTAAAATATGGTTATAAAATTTAAAGATGTAACTTACTCTTTCAGCAAAGCCTGGAAGGTCTGGTATCGACACTGAGGCTATGCCCTTATTTTAAAATATAACCCAACTTCCAAATGTAATTGTTTCAAGGATTTTAAGGTCCCATTGAGAATTCCCATTTGGTGTCCAATTTAAAATCTGTAGTTAAGAGTGAGGCAACATTCTTCTTACATGGGTTACTTACAACGGCTTGTGACATCTGGGCTAAAATATTAAGTCAATAAAAATAATTGACTGAATCATAATGACTCAAAAAACAGTTCCAGTCCAGTGAGCTAACATTCCATTCCCAACAGGCAAGAAATTCAATATGGTTCTTTTCACATTGCCTCTGGCACATTCCCATTCAATTCAAGCATATTCGTGTACAAACAAGGTTTCCTTTACGGAAAAAAAAAAAATGTTCACATATTTAAGTGATTTCTCACATTCACTCTCTCACAATTAAAAATAGAAATTACTTCAATACCTCAAACTTATGTGAGTTGGCTATGATCTAACTTTGACTGCCGGTTAAATACTCTTAGCTACAGGGGTGTTGCTACAAAAGTAGTATCCAAAGAAAGCATATGATAAGGGGAGTGGATGTTTGGAGAAAATACTCTCACTAATATTAGAAAAATTGCTTCCGGAAAAGTGGCTCAAAATTAGCCCTCGATTAAGGATGAATTTGTAGAGTGATTCTTGTATACGCAACAGAGCCATGTCTGGACTTTTCTAGTTCCTCCCGCACCATTGGGTTCCCCTTGAGAACATCTGGGAGGCCAAGCAATGACTGTGCAAGGGGGGGGAGGGTAACCATATGCTGAGTAGGGTCCCTGCTACTGTAGTCATGTAACACTTTTAGGGGGCACATGTGACATGCACCACAGACAAAATGAAGAAAATGTAGAACACGTAATGCTGGAAGGACCCTCCGAAAACATCTAGTCCAACCTTCCTTTAAGTTCCACCAACCTTCCCTTCCCCCACGCCCCAAAAAAACCAAGTCACAGATAAGACCATTGGGAACTAGAGGAATGATTTGGTTAATCCCAGGCCACAAACTAGTTGGAATAAAAACTCCAATAAAAGGCCTTCTGGACATTAATATGCTGTTAACTCTAGTCTCACCTCCATTACCAGATATCGTGCACAACTTCAGAAGAAGAGAAACACACAGATGCCGTCTACAATTTCTCCATTCAAACTAGAACCCTAAGAGTAAGAATAATTCCTATCCAAAGATCTGAGTAACCAGTAAAGAGCATATCTCTTGTTCGTTTAGGAGACAAAGTTGAGACCAGTGTTAATAAGGAGTGTTTTATGGAATCTCAGAGGTCTCTGAATCCATGATGTGAATCTCCCTTCCTTAATTAACAAGAATTAACCAAATTAATAGCATTAACTTGAATTAACTGTAATTTAGGTCCCACAATCTACATGACATACTGACTTTGTGGACAAAAAAAGGGAGGGGGGTGCTGAAAGTGACCTCACAGGGTGATCTGATCATAAATTCCTAACTGGGCAGGTCACAGTGGGTAATGCCCCAGGCATATAACTTCTTTAGTAAAAGGCTTATCTTTGCCTTAAGCAAGCCCTGTCCATTGTTTCTGTGCATCTAGGTTAACACACCTTTGAAATGCCTCTTTTTCGGACCCCTCAGAAGCATAACCACCCTCAAGAGAGCACATAATCTTGTTAACTGTCCTGCAATCCAATTCCTGCCTTGCTTTCTCCCACCTTCAAGTAATCTTCCTTAGTTTCCCTCCTTAATTCCAATCGCATAAACTGCAAAACTGTTATCATCCAGAGCATTTGAGATTTTGATCCTGGCAATTGTTATCAATTTGGCTCAAAGAAACTCTTATAAAAATTCTCTACAGGTCTGAATGTTTCTTACGGCAACACCTTTAACCTCAGGACCTCTCATCAGAACAGATGTTTTAATGGTAACTCTTCTTGAGAAGACATCAGTCTTCGGGCTATATGTTTATTTTACTTCTTATTCCTCTACTTCTATGCACCTTTAAAAATATTTTATTATTTATAAATATCATAGAAGACTCTGGCTGTTCTTGCAGAAAACACAACCCTGTGTCTTAGGATGTAATAAATTTAAATATAATTGGAACGGTGGCTTCTATTGATTTCCTGACCCCAATTACCACATCTGGCTTTAGAATTTGACAACATGGTTTCCTAGCTCAAAAGAAAGAAACAACCCAACCAATTATAACAGTTAAAGATTGACATCTTGCCCGGCCGGGCGTGGCTCATCGGTTGAGCGTCGACCTAGGATCCAGGCGATCGGGGTTTGATTCCCGGTCAGGGCACATGCCCGGGTTGCGGGCTGCAGCCGATCAATGACTCTCTCATCACTGATGTTTCTATCTCTCTCTCTCCCTCTCCTTTCCCCTCTCTGAAATCAATAAAGATATGTTTAAAAAAAAAAGATTAACATCTTAATCCCATGGGGCATTGCTACACTGGTTATCATTTGGTCAATCCACTAGAAAAATAAATAAATAAAATGGTCCCTCAGATGACATTTTGACCAAAGACTGCCACAAGAAAATGCATTTTTTTCCCAAATAGAAATGCATAGGATAGAAATACCATAATGTTCTGAGAGTTAGAATTTAAGTAAGATTCAAACATCACATGACCAGAAGGCAAAAAAAATATCTGAAAACCTTCCCTCCCTAAGGAAAATTATTGCAGTCTCAATGGTCCTTATCATATCATCGTTGAAATACAATATTCAGAAACTATTCAGTGCAGAAAGCCCTGAGGATAGCAGAACAAGGCACCTGTCTGAAGAATTCCTCCAGCAGCGACATGGTCCAGCGGTGGTGGAGCTCCCACGCCTTGGCGGGATGGCTGATGTCCGCCGTGTGCAGCATCAGGGATAAGGCTTTGGGCTTCTCAATCCTGCAAACCCAAAGGAACCAAGCACGTGCTGATCAAGCTCTCGGAACCTCAATAACAGTTTCATTAAAAAGCAGTAATGTTTTCATCCCTCCCATTCTCCCTCTCAGCCCCCACTTCAGCTGAACGGGGGGGAAAGTCATGTCACTCTACAGCTGAAATATTCTCCAGCTAGGCCTCCATGCTTATTGAGCTGGACACTTAAAAACTGACTCTGAGCTATGTCTGGAATGGCCACATCATTCAAAGAGACAAAAATCTGCCCAGCTGGTGTTGCTCAATTAGTTGAGCACTGTCCCATGTACCAAGAGGTCGCTGGTTCGATTCCTGGTCAGGACACATGCCCAGGTTGTGGGCTCGATCCCCAGTAGGGGGCGTGCAGGAGGCAGCCAATCAATGTTTCTCTCTCATCACTGATGTTTCTACCTCTCTCTCTCCCTCTCCCTTCTTCTTTCTCTAAAAAATCAATACTAATTTTTAAAATGTATATATTTTTAAAAGACAAAAATCCAAGAGTCACTCACTGACTTTTATGAGTTGCCTCTGCATTGAGTAGATTTTTTATAATTTAGTTTCCTGCAGAAAAATATTTTCAATTCTAATTGGGGCATATTCTGTCTTTTTTATTTATTTCAACCCTGATGAGAATCTCTCTGCGACATGTGCAATTCTCATGTTCTTGCCTCCAAATATCCCCAGTTTATGAAACCATTTGGCAAAGGTCTCCGAAGGAGGTGCACTTTAAAGGTTCAAGGACATGGATGCGTTCCAGCTCAAACACCTGTGAAAACAGTGTCACAGGCCCACTCACGCTTCCGGCTGCTGCAGAGCTGTCTTCATCGCTTTGATCTGTTGGAAATGACAAGACATATCCGTGGCCATCACCATGTCAATCACCAAGGTCCGAAATTCCCTTTCAGGGACGCCCCATGGAGAAAAAAGATGAAAGTCAAAAATGGGAAGTAAAAATTAGTTTATTTTTGCCACTGCCAAGCAAAATCAGTTAATTAGTTGTGACATTTCTTATCTAACTTGAACCTGAAAATGACTCACAGGTCCCTTAGCTGCTCATTTTTTAAAAATCTCTTTTTCTCCTATTTCTTCAAATTTCATATTGATTGATCTTTTCAAGTTCACTGATTCTTCGCTCTGTCTTCTCCAACTTGCTACTCAAATTTAAATATTTAATTTTTCAGTTCTAAAATTTCTGTTTGCTCTTGTTTATAGTTTCATTTCACTGGTTAAATTTTACTGTATTTTATTACAAGCATACTTTTCTCTACCTCACTGAGCATAAATATAATAACTGCTTTAAAACTCCTTGTCTGATGCTTCCAACCATGGATGGGTTCAACTTGGAGACTGAACCCACTGACTGTGTTTTCTCCTGCAAATGAGTCACATTTTCCTGCTCTCTGCATGCCACTTAGATTGTCACAGAATGTGAGTTTCCCGTTGGTTGGCTCTCTCTTTTCTGGGGTTCTTTCTAACTCACTCACTAGCAGCTCCGGTTGTTCCTATGCTGGTCTCTCTGGCCAGAAAAATAGTGAAGGTATTTGTATAATATAGTTTCAGCCAACTAGTGTGGCCTTGACTGAGACTGCCTTCAGAGTGAAATCACAAAAACATCACATTCTCCTATCACAGTCTCCAAATATTGACACCCCTTCAAAACTTGCCTAATTCTGTCCACTCTCTAGAGCCCTCAAGTCAATGGGGTTGTGTTTATTTGTTTGAATTTGTCCATAGTCTATAGCTGTTATTTGCAGGAAGACTGGTTTATTGGCAGCTAATCTGACCTGCTGAAAGTGGAATTCCATGTTATTCCGCTTTGAAATGCAGTAAATACCTGGAAAGACATTCGTTTACAAAGGTCCTAAAAAGTCAAATGCACTCATGTATCCAAACAAATCTATCAGATATTAACATCGCTTTCCTATCAAGACACAGGAGACTAAACATGTTTATCTTTCAGTTAATGGATTTCTGCAGGCGGCATACCCGGCCCCGGCCCCGGCCCTTCTCGCCCTCACCTCCAGTCGTCCTTGGAAAGGTTGACCAGGATGTTCATCTCCTCGTCGTCCTGAAGAAGGCGGTAGGCCGCACTCAAGTGGTGGTTTTCCAGCACCGACCTGTCGTTGTACAGAATAGCGGGGTCGGACCTGAACAGAAGCCAGAAGACAATTAGGGTGTCAAACAGGTAACTCTTTCAAGAATACACCATCTCTTTCCCGTGTTTAGCAGTGGCCTTTGCCCCTGTGCCATTTCTATCAACACAAAAGCTAAAACTAACACTATAAATTATCGATCGATGTACATAGGGTATTTTAGTGTCAATATGTGAATGTGAAATATGTGACACCCAAACTGAGAACTATCTGAAAACTGTACCATAACCAGACCTCAATATCTTTGCTAGTAGCACCAGAGGCGATTAAAATATATATATGTATATGTGTGTGTGTTATATATATATATATAGCTTTAGTGATTTCAGAGAGAGGAAGGGACGGGGGAGAGAGAGAGAAACATCAATGACGAGAGAGTCACTGATCGGCTGCCTCCTGCACGCCCCCTGCTGGGGATCCAGCCTGAAACCCGGGCATGTGCCCTGACTGGGAATCGAACCTTGATCATCTGGATCCTAGGTCGATGCTCAACTGCTGAGCTACATCGGCCAGGCAATTCTGATTTTTCAAAATGTGGGTCAAGTCAAACTTCCTTATATTTTCTACAACTTTAATTTTTGTATTAAATAAAAGATTGTATCTTACTGCTAATTCTCTGAGCACATGCCACCTGCGGGAACACTCTGCGAGTTCCCCCGGCAGCAGCTGGATCCTAAGCTGCTAACATGCAGAAGCCACGCACGGAGCGCTCAGCGCGAAGAACACAAGGTCATACGACACCTGCCAGTCACTTTCTCCAGGACCGCTCCACAGCTGGATGACAACCCACACAGAGCTGTACTCTATTCCAACAGCCTTAATTGAATGAAATCTGACGTTATGACAGCCTGTTGGTTTCTCACCAGGGAAGCTGAGTCCCAGAGATGTAAGGTGACCTCACAGAGCCCGACAATGGCGAAGTGTCGGGGTTGGGACAAAGGCGAGACCTCTGACAGTTGGGCCATGGCCCCCCAAGATAACGTCCACCTGTCATTGGCCGAACTTTGAAATTTATCTAGCACACCTTTAAAGTGTTAGATTTAACATACAATCAAAGGACCGAGAACCTGGTCCCAGACTTGGTTTTCTGAGCAGGGAGCACACAGGCTGAGCTTTAGATAAAGTTGTTAGACACGGCTAATGTCTACATGTCATCCCAAACCCAGCTTAACTGAACCCGCTGGAGTTTCCCAGCGCCTATGGAGACACAGCGCAAAACAGGCAAATCCTCGGGAACGATCTGATCTCACACCTGTTAGGTAAGTGAGGCACCGACTGCCGCGTGTTGGGGACATTAAGCTATGTTCCCACTCCTGTAACTGATTTCCCTCGGCGCGTGGCTGGTCCTGACACTGATCTCCAGCCAAGATCCAGGTACAGTTCCACCACCTCCCTCCCTTCAGCAGGGGCTCCCATCCTCAGAGCAAAGATCCCACCAAACAGCAGCTCTGCCGAATTCCCTGCGTTTACAGGCCTTGCAGCAGGACCCCAAAGGCTGTTTCTCGCAGCTGAGACTATTTACATGGGGAGGAAGGAGACAGAAAATGCAGCCAACGGCTTAAGCTCTTTTGTCTGCTTCCATTCTATTGAAACCCCCCTTCTGAACACAGACCAGAGGAAACTGTCGTCTTTTGTGTGCCCCACCATTAAGCGCTGGGTTCATTAAATACATGTAGATGGATTTATGAACACAAACCTGTCTGAACTGGGCACCTGCCCATCGAGGGAAATCGGCAAGTGTTTATTTGGTGTTAAACTCGCCCCGCCCTGCTGTGTTCCTTCTCTTTGCCTTGTCACCTCTCCCCAAATTCTAGCTTCTCTTGAGTCCTACATCAAGGCCCAGCTAACCCTACTGTCAGATTCTCTCCAGTTCTGCATCTTTGTCTTAGAGAAGGTAAGTTCTGAGTCCGGGAGAGGGCAGGTAAGGTTTCATCCTAGATGCAAATGACAATTGACTGGTACAACTGCCTGGAATTCTGTGTTGAGAGGACCACGAAGGATAGATCTGCAGCCAGTAAGAAAAATATACCCAAATTGATTAGTGATGTCTGACAGTCAACAACTTCAGAGTGAAGCATGTAGACCCATATTTAATATCCCCCACACGTTTACCTGTGCAGGTTGTTAGGGAGGGTGCATAAGTGGCCCATGGGGAGACAACCTAGCTCCCCAAGTCCTACGCCACTGAACAGAGCAGAGGGGAAATCAGGGGGACTGGGGGAGCACCACCAGGATCCCAGAGATCAGAGGGTGAGAAGGCCCAGTTGCTGTTCATGTCAACAGGCTCCAATCCTTGCCTGTCCCCCACTGATTTGGTCTATGTGGCATCTGTGCCTTTCTGTAAATTGCTCCGTCTCCTATTAGAAACAGGGAGAGCATGCGCCGTGCATACATAAATCACACGTAGCTAGCATGAGAACAGAGGAAAAAGAGATCCGTATTAGATGTAGATAAAATACGAGCATTAGGAGCAGGGGGCTTCTTATACTTGATTGAAGCTGACCAGGCTGGTCTCTTGTTTAAAAATTCATTTTTCCAGAAACTCAAAATAGAGCGACCATGCAAAAGAAAGGTGGCAACACCTTTAGCTCTCTCCCTGGCCCCTCTCGCCCCTCCCCACACATTTCCAAATCCTCACCGGGTCTGGATGTGGAAGTTGTTGGTGGTCCCAGTGTGCTCGTAGTCGTGGATGGCAGCTGAGAAGATTATAGCAAAAATCTCCAGCTCCGTCAGCCAGTTCTGAAAGGGAGATGACAGAGCAATCAGATCATCTGTCTCCTTCTGTCCTCCGCTTGCTGACAACACACAACATCATCACCTTTCCACCCTGCAGCTGGTGAGCTACTGCCAGACACCTGTTTTCAGACAGACAGAAATGGTGTTTTTCTTCCGTAAGGAGATGAGGGGACATGTGTCTTGAAAACAGCATGCCCACCCTGGCCAGTGTGGCTCAGCTGGTTGAGCACGATCCCATGCACCAAGAGGTCGCTGGTTTGATTCCCAGGTTGCAGGCTCCATCCCCAGTAAGGGGCGTGCAGGAGGCAGCTAACATGTTTTGCTCTCACATCAATGTTTCTCTCTTTCCCTCTCCCTTCCTCTCTCTCTAAAATTCAATAAAAAATATTTTTTTAAAAATAAGCAGATGGACAATTAATGGTAGCCTGGCTGACAAGAGCAATGAAAGGGGCCAAGGGGTAGCTTTGGAGTTTGGAATCTTTTGACTTAAAAGCCGACTGGAGCTTGGGGTCTGATTTCTGTCTATGCAACCGACAACTTTTCAATACAACGCTGTTCAAGGTTGTCTCTTGGAATTGAGCAAAATAAATCTGAAGGGATTCAAGCGTCTGCCAGGCATCTGAGCTAGCCAGCAATGAGCGATATACACAGATTACAATGAGTTGATGTGGAGGCCCGGGCATCACTGTATCAATGGGATGCTTTCATTCCCTGTGTGTCTCACACTTCATAAAACTGGAATGATTTAAAGCATTTTCCCCCTCTTGGTTAGTAATGAAAGGTTAGAGTCTCAATATGTTCTCCATTCATCAGCGTGCTCCCCACTGCTTTTGTAAGCCTGCAGCGAAAGAAGTTTGTTTTGAGCTGCATTTCCGAGAGGGTGGGTGGGAAGCAGTTTCTATATTTAGGAATTATTCTGAATATGCCTGAATCGATCATGAAAATTCAACGGCAAATGGCAAATAAGCTCAATTAAGAACATTATGCAGTATGTCACGATCATTGGCTGCTATGATAATATACTTACGTTAATGATAACTTGCATTAGCATAAATGCTTGGGAGTTTTTCTTGAGGGCTAAAAAAAAATTTCACCTTTATATCTCCATAGTACACTACACAGCAGGCACTAACTAAATAGATGTTGAATAGATAAGTTCAAAGTACATCTCACATCTACTTCGATCCTTACCACAATACTTTGAAGAGTCACATGAGGCTACTGAGGGGTAAGTAACCAGGGGCCTCTTTTTTTTGCCACGGGCATTGAGAAGCGTGGCTAAATACTGCAATGGCCTAAAGAAGTCAGACCTGGGACCAAATCCTGGCTCGGCTACTGTATATGTCTGCTAGGGCTGCCCTAAGGAAATGCCGCAGACCATGCGGTTTATACAAAAGAAACGTATCCTCTCAGTTCTGGAGGCTAGAAGAGCAAGATCAAGGTGTTGGCAGGGCTGATTTGTGGTGGGAGCTCTCTTCCCGGCTTGCAGGCGACANAGTAAGGGGCGTGCAGGAGGCAGCTAACATGTTTTGCTCTCACATCAATGTTTCTCTCTTTCCCTCTCCCTTCCTCTCTCTCTAAAATTCAATAAAAAATATTTTTTTAAAAATAAGCAGATGGACAATTAATGGTAGCCTGGCTGACAAGAGCAATGAAAGGGGCCAAGGGGTAGCTTTGGAGTTTGGAATCTTTTGACTTAAAAGCCGACTGGAGCTTGGGGTCTGATTTCTGTCTATGCAACCGACAACTTTTCAATACAACGCTGTTCAAGGTTGTCTCTTGGAATTGAGCAAAATAAATCTGAAGGGATTCAAGCGTCTGCCAGGCATCTGAGCTAGCCAGCAATGAGCGATATACACAGATTACAATGAGTTGATGTGGAGGCCCGGGCATCACTGTATCAATGGGATGCTTTCATTCCCTGTGTGTCTCACACTTCATAAAACTGGAATGATTTAAAGCATTTTCCCCCTCTTGGTTAGTAATGAAAGGTTAGAGTCTCAATATGTTCTCCATTCATCAGCGTGCTCCCCACTGCTTTTGTAAGCCTGCAGCGAAAGAAGTTTGTTTTGAGCTGCATTTCCGAGAGGGTGGGTGGGAAGCAGTTTCTATATTTAGGAATTATTCTGAATATGCCTGAATCGATCATGAAAATTCAACGGCAAATGGCAAATAAGCTCAATTAAGAACATTATGCAGTATGTCACGATCATTGGCTGCTATGATAATATACTTACGTTAATGATAACTTGCATTAGCATAAATGCTTGGGAGTTTTTCTTGAGGGCTAAAAAAAAATTTCACCTTTATATCTCCATAGTACACTACACAGCAGGCACTAACTAAATAGATGTTGAATAGATAAGTTCAAAGTACATCTCACATCTACTTCGATCCTTACCACAATACTTTGAAGAGTCACATGAGGCTACTGAGGGGTAAGTAACCAGGGGCCTCTTTTTTTTGCCACGGGCATTGAGAAGCATGGCTAAATACTGCAATGGCCTAAAGAAGTCAGACCTGGGACCAAATCCTGGCTCGGCTACTGTATATGTCTGCTAGGGCTGCCCTAAGGAAATGCCGCAGACCATGCGGTTTATACAAAAGAAACGTATCCTCTCAGTTCTGGAGGCTAGAAGAGCAAGATCAAGGTGTTGGCAGGGCTGATTTGTGGTGGGAGCTCTCTTCCCGGCTTGCAGGCGACACCCTCTCATTGCCCCACGTGGCCTCCCACTGTGCATGCGCACGCCTGTGTCCTAGTCTCCTGTTTTCATAAGGACACCAATCATATTGGGTTGGGGCCCACCCATAGGACCTCATTTTACCTTAGTTGCCTCGTCAAAGGCCCTGTCTCCAAATACCGTCCCATTCAGTGGGGATTAGGACTTCAGCACAGGAATATAGGAAGGGTACAAAATTCTGCCCATGAGCAGCCCTTTATGACAGGGCAATGTTGGCTCCTATTTTTCTACTGAATTTATGTCGTTTTCTCACTGGTTGATGTATTTATACAATCTGGATCTTAATCCTTGCTCTCTCTCGACTTTCCTCAAACACTACTTCACTATGATGATGTTTTATATCCTACAGAAGGTTCCAATACACTCATATTAATCAACAGTTTGTTATATAACGTTTGTGTTTTGAGGCTGGCTTAAGAAAGAATTTCTTTTTTCAAGGGTATAAACATATTCTCATATTTTCTTCTAATACGAGCAAAATTTTTGTACCCACATCTTTAATTCTATCGTCTGATATTTGATGGATGATGTGAAGTGGGATAAAAATAATTTGTTTGTTCCAGGTGAACAACTGTCCCCAAAACATTTATTTTTTCACTCAGTAGTTTTCCCTGTAGTGTTGTGTACAGACATCTCCTCACCTTCTCACCTGCAATTCTTTCTTTATTGTATTATCCCTCATTAGAGAACGAATGATATTTCTATTTATACTAATCCTTCAGTGCTAACTCTGCTGGCATACTCTTCTTAGGCTCCTGGCATGGCTCAACCTTAGAGTCACAACCATCTCAGATGAAATGTTACCTCTGGAGCGAGGCCTTTCTTGACTACTTAATGAAACTCCCAGTATTCCCTACGTGAGTGCCCAATTTTAATTCTCTTCAGGACACTAGTGGTATTTTCTTGTTTATTTTTATCAGTCTTCTCTCTTTAACCTGCCACTAGAATGCAAATTCTGTAAGAACACCAACGTATCCTTACCCTATAAAATGTAACTAGCACAAAGTAAGTGCTCAATAAATATCTGGGTTTCATTTTTGAAACTCTAATCAATCACCTTGTTATATTTGTCTATTTTGGCACGGATACCACGCTATTTTTATTACTATAGCTTCAGGAGGTATTTTAATATCTAGTAGAGTAACAACTACCCCACCACACACATTGTCTTTCACAAAACTGTTTTTTAAGGTTGGAAAATATCTATTTTAGATAAATTTCAGACTCTGCTTATCATGTTTCATGTTAAATCCTATTGGAAATTTTATTGGTATTGTCTTGAATTTATAGATTATTTTGAGGAAAACTGACATCTATATAATACTGAGGCATTAAAAACATGGTGTATTTCTTCACTTAGTTAAATATTATTTTGTGCCCTTAAGTGTAATAGTTTCCTTTTTATCAGTTTTCAAGTTCTTCATAGTAACTTATAGATTTTTTAAACTGCTGAGAATGTATGTTTTTCTATTATGCATGTTAATTTCCAGTGTATAGGACAGCTATTTTATCCAGATCTTATTGAGATCTTTTATTTGATTTAATAATTTGTAGTTAAATTTCTTGATTTTTTTAAAGGAGGTAATCAAATTATCTTTGCAGGATGCTTCTTTAACTTCTTTAGATACCATACTGCATGGCTGAGACCTCCAGAAAAATGCCCAGGGGCAATATTAATGTAGGCATCCCTGCTTGGCTCCGCATTTCCATGGAACCACCATTAACTATGACATTTGCTCTAAGTTTCTGACAGAAATCCTTTATCACATTAAACAGGTTCCCTTTGTGGTGCTTCTATAATTTTAAAAATAGCTTTTTAAATAATATTTTAAGAAATCAGCTTTACAATGAGGAAGAACTGAAGACTGGTGAGAGGTTTGGGCGAAATCCAGCAAAGTATTTTTTAAATTGAATTTACTGGGGTGACATTGGTTCATAAAACCATACAAGTTCCAAGTGTACAACTCAATAAACCTTCATCTGCGCCGTGCATCGAGAACCCATCGCCCCAAGCAAAGTCTCTTCCCATCCCCACTTCCCCTCCTTTGCCCACCACCACCTACTCCCCACCCCCTTTCCCCCTCTGGCTGTCACCACACTGTTTCCTATTGTCTGTACGACCATAATTCCTAACAGTTGAGTTTCCTTTATGGGGCAGACAGAGCCCTTCATATTCTTGACACTTTATTCCTAACTGTCACAGTACTTCCACAAGATAGAGTACTTTCACCATCTTAGAAACGAGGACATCCTGACTCAGAGATTCAAGCAATTTATCATAGGTCACAGAATCTAATAAGTAATTAAACAAGGATTTCTATCCAACTATATCTAGCTCCAAAGCCCACACTCCTCCCACTGTATCCCATTTTTAATTCAGTGAGATATTAGACCAAGTCATTCAACATGCCCTCGTAAAAAGCTAACAGATGCGTACCGGGTTTATGAGCCAATGGATAAGCATACCCAGAGAATGTCTATCTTGACGTCAGATCTGAAGGTTTCAGAGTAAAAGGTCCTAGAGGCGGACCACGGAGGCCGCCTTGGCCTGTGTGACCCCAGCCCTCCCGTGTGTACTCACAGCGACTCCCGTCTTGTAGAGGAGGTAATGCACCGTCTGTGTGACATCAGCGGCGTGCACTAAATTGTGGTAAGGATTTTTATGCTTGCTGTATCCCACTTCCAGGGCCTCCACAAACGAGACGAGTGCAGAAATGGGGATCTGAAAAAGAGCAGTGAGGTTAACAAGCTAGTCAGTCGCTTTACGTGAGGAACAAGCGTTACACAGGATCATCTCAAAGACATGTAGGGCAGAAGGGGGTGCGTTCATTTATTTCTCAAGCAAAGGTGCCGGCCTCTTATTTTCTGAGAAATAAATGAACACATGCTGTGCGGCGTATCTCATTTATTTATGACAACACATAAAGTACACCAAGATCTTAGTTAAGTGACTGCAAAATGAACACAGGTGGCCACCTCCTGAAAAATTGTGTCCTTTAGGGAAAGTAATTGCAGGTACTGGACACATAAAAAACAAAAACAAAAAAACAACATCATAGTCTGTTATATATGGGAACAGAAACAACCTGTATCCCTATGTCCATTACTTGACAATTTATTATAGGTGTGTTGCAATTTGGAGTAACATTTCCAATTAGCCTAATTGCTTTTCTGTCTCAAATGTGTATAACATACAAACCTTCTTTTTCTATGTGGCAGAAAGTGAAGGACAACTGTAAAATGCACCCTTAAGACAGTCATTGTGTTAGTTTTCTGAATCAACTCATTTGTTCAGGGTAAATTATCAAGTTCAAGACTGGGGGGAAGGAAAGAGTGTGTTCCAGGGGACAAAGCATCACGTTAGGAGGGGGAAATAAGGCCAGTGCTCCTGTGATGCTTTGTGAGAGCCCGTGGAGTGTTTTTCCTGGAGCCCCATCTTCTCTGCTTCGACCGAGGTTCCTGGGGCTGCTCGTGAAAGATCTGCGAACACTGAAATGCATGGGGGCTCTGCTCCGAGGACAGTGTCCCAGGCAGTCACCGGATTTCCAAACAGCTTTCTGGTGCAAAGAAATGAAGGACCACTGCCATCAAATATTTACGGCTATGTAAGAAATACAGCCCCCAATACGCGGTCCTTCGGAAAGCGCAAGGGCACCGTGTGGTCCAGAGAGGTCAAGGGTTGCGGAGAAAAAGGCCTGCATTCCCCAGAGGCTCACCCACAGGATGAGAAGTCCAAGGAGCATAAATGCCAGGTGTCAGCACGTGAATGCGCAGGTCGCCTGGAGAACCCAGCCGGACCCCCGGAGTCTGCGCAAGGAGAGGCTGAAGGGTTGAACCCTGGGAACGATCCGTGCTCTTTACTTAGAGCTGAAGAATTCATCTGAAGCATGAACGGCTGGGCAACACCGACGAGCTGTCACAGACGATAAGTGAGCGTATTTGTCTGCATTTGAGTCAAGTGGTGGGAAAAAGTTTGCAGGGACAGCAGCCGTCTGTGTCTCCGGCTGATGGCAGCGGGTCGCGCCCGAAATGGGGCTGAAGCGAGGTGAGCGGGGAGAGCTGCGGGAGGCCTGCTGTTCCGCCTGCGGTGGTGCTTCTGGGAAGAGCGGGATCCGAACCTGTGGTCCAGCCTCTCCCGGGCCAAGGAGCCCCACCAGGCGGCGGAGTAACGAAAAGTTCCCACGGCAGGAGTTCATGGCAGCGACTGTCGGGATGATGCGTCCCAAGTCACCCCGAGCAGTTTGGAGTCTGTATTAAAAGGGTGCTCTTGGCCTTAGTCCCACTGTCATGCAAAGAGAGGTGGGTGTGTGTGTGTGTGGGTGTGTGTATGTGTGTGTGTGTGTGTAATTAGGCACTGACCTTGAAACGGCTGATCAGATCGTAGCGTGTGAGTAATTCATAGAAAATGAATTTCAGAGCATGGTCCCCGCTGGCTTCATTGAGGGAAAAGACATCGAAGGACCACCTGTCCACGTCCTGCAGGACCAGGCAGGCGAGAGACCGCGTCAGTCCACAGCCGCTGGCACAGCCACCAACCTCCCAACCCGCGCCCGGGGAGCGGCCCGCACCTCACCCGGGATTTCGCAGGCCGACGCTAATGCCCTTCCCACTCTCACACTTCGTGCAGCCTGGCAGACCTACACAGCACTCGCTGATCAAATATTAAACAGTTTCATAACTAATAACAGCTGCTATAATTTATTGAGTGCCTACCATATCTAGGCATCGTGACCAGTAATAAATACATAATTTATCCTGAAAACCACTCGAAGGGATAGGTTTTATTAGTCACAGTTTATAGACGAGAAAACTGAGAAGTTACCTAACTTCCTTAATGCCCCATCACAAGTAAGTGCTAAGGACACTGATGGGCCCAGCACACAAACACATGGTCACCAATACCTAAGCGGGGGCTCTGTCCATTAACCCCTTCCACTAGCTACCCCGGCTGAATTTCCAATTTTTCATTCATTCAACAACCTTCGGTGCCTCCCTACTCTGAACTTCTCTCCAGTCCCTTGAGACCATCTACAGACTTCCTCTTAGTCCACAGTTGAGAATATGAACCTACTTTGAAGTGTTCAGAAACACGCAAGACATAGAACACAAAATAGGGTGTCACTTCAGTCCAAACTGCTCAGCTGAACCCAAGGAGAAAGCCTTCATTTCGTGGGTCAGAAAAATGTTGCTACTTCTGGAGTCACTGATCTGGGGACCTGGTCCTCAAATCTGTTAAGTCATCTTACTGAAAAAAGTAAAACTAAGAGCTAAGCTGAACATACACGTCACATACTGTTTTTGAAGTTCAAAGCCCTATTTGTCTATAAAGAGCTACTCCAAAATATATGTAAACGCTATCTGACAGGTCTTTGACTTATAACCAGCTATTTATAAACAAAGGTGTGTTTAACCGATAGTTAAAGTGACAGTCATTTGGTTTCTCATTGTGACAGAGTCTCACTTTCAATAGAGAAAGTGTAGGGCTGTGAGCCTGACAATAGGGACCCATGTGAGACCACATAAGTCCAGACAAGGTGTCAGATGGTGCCTTGGAAAAGACCTTGGCCATCAGGAACTGCTGGCCTGAGTGGCACTCACCTCAGCCCTCGCTGCATCCCAGCATCATCCATCCATCCCAACCCTGTCTCTCTCCAAGCATCCCACTGTCAAGATCATCCCAAGGTCATCAAGGGTCTCTTTCATGGATGCCAGGGCACAGAAAAACTGAATTTCATATAGGGAAAAGCAAACTTTTCCAAAAGGGTCCCAAACTAGATGTTTCAATTCACACCAGTGGCAACCTCACCTCAGTTTTCAATCATTTCTCTTCCATTATAGTAACTAAAGAAATAGCCTCGAGTATTGGACACATTTTTTTGTGTGGCAGGCACAGTGTAAGGTATTTACATGCATTCGCAAACCTTCACAACTCTAGAAATAGGTGTCACTTTCCCCAGACTTGCAGATGGCAACCTCAAAGAGATGAAGTGAAGTGTCCAATGCCATTTGGTACCAGAACCAGGTATGAACTCCAGTGACACCACCTAGTGACAGCATTGCCGGCAGATGACATCATAAATTCCATGAATATATGCTGTGACCCAGGCCTCATGCCCTAAATGCCCCAATAGGGCCCAGGCCATAGACAGTGGGGCCGTTTCAGATTAACCCAAGACCTGAAGCTTCACCCTGATGACTATCATTGGCATGGTCGTGACATCTGGTCTCTGGCCATTGATCCTAAAGAAAAGTCCTCTGACCACTCAGTAGGTGGGATGACACTTTGTCCTGTCTGACAATTTCTAGTGCTACTCTCCAGAATGAATATAAAAGAAAAAGGCTATTACTGGAAATAAAGAGATCCTCATAGCAAGAAGACAAGATTTATTCTGAATATTAGGACTTAGAGAGATGAGAGCATGAGTAGAGAGCGAGATGGATGTCCTCTCCGCCCCTCATTTTCAGAAGGCTTAGCCATAATTCTCAAATTTCAGTGTTCTTCAGAAGCACCTGGGGAGCTCAGGAAAAATGCTGATTTTCAGGTGGGGGGCTCTGCAAAATCTTGGTGTGGGATCAGTTAAACAGTTAAACAGTTTAACTGTTTAAACCAATCTTCCTCTCTTACCAAAGCTGGCCCGAGAGCCGTTCCCATGGAGAAACTGCGCGGACTTTGCATCAGCAGAGAGTGAAGGAGGCCCGCGCCTCATTTCCTCCCAATTCAAACCTCACTCTTCAGGGTGTCCCTTCTGAGGTCACACAACGGGTCCCTTCCAAGGGACGGAACACATCTAGACTCCCAGTAACCCCACCTCAGAGGGCTGGCGACAAAGCAGCCCGAATTACAAACTAGCATTTATCGAATGGAAAGAACAAAAATGCCACACATGTCAAATTTAGAGGTGGGAGGTGGTTAAATATTCTCTTACTTAAATGCTGTTCTATGCCATGTTCTTACATTAATCACAAAGGTTAACGTGCCAGTCGCCTGATGGCTATTTATTGAATTGTACTCTCCTAGTCCTTGGGGAAATTCCTGTAATAGAAGCAAACAGTAGTGATCCCATACAAACTGCTGGCAGTGAAGTGAAGTAGCCTTTTTCTAACAGGCACCACATTTAAAAAAAGAAGAAAGAAATTTCAGTGAGATCTCTCCAGCTCACCTCCAATCCACTGCAAATAAAACCAGAGTCTAGGGAGGCAGAAAAAGATTACATTAAAAAGGTCCCTGAACTTCCCCATGAACAGGGGACAGGGCCAATAGAAAAAGCCTCATGCACATATCAGCAATACTTGAGGAGAGGGTGGCAATTCCAGGGTACCTGGACCATCGAGGTACCCCTCCCCTTAGAAGACATACGTGCATATGAGAATCGCTTTTCCCTAAGCATAAAATAACAATCCACACACGTCACAGGCTGTTCCACGTTTCCCTCAATTACTCTACGTAGGAAAGATGCTCTCATTTGGAAAACATATTTTCATAAATTTCTTAGTACCTGTATAATCACCTGTATTTATGTTCACAATAAAGGGAGGAATTAAAAATGAAAGATGCTTTTAATGTTCCTAAGACTCGCTCAATGTTTCAATTTCAATTATGAAAATCAATGCAGCTTTATAGTGAGTGTTATGAAACATCAAATCTTATGCAAAACGGTTTCGCTGATTAAATGGGAAATGTCGCCGTACATCACACAGATATATTAGGCATTAAAGTGGGGGGTGAAGGGGAGTGAGAGAAAGTGTGTCTTCTTGCTGTACCCTCCTCGAGTACCCTTCCTGTTCTTAAGATAAGGTAAGAAGAGACACTATTGATAAGGACACATAGTGCACTTGATCTTAGCCAAAAAGCCTGGAAGTAATTCGCCTGTTAGAAAGGCTTTATCAACAAGACACGTGATAAGTGTTGGGAGGGTCGTGGGGACAAGGAACCCTCATACAATGTTTATGGGAATGTAAATTGGTGCAGCCACTGTGGAAAACAGTATGGAGATTCCTTAAAAAAAAAATAAGAATAATCATAGGGCCCAACATCCCTCTTCTGGGTATCTACCCCAAAAAAGTGCAATCATTTATTCATAAAGATGTACGTACCCCTGTGTTCACTGTGCATTACTCACAGTGGCTAGCACATGGAAACAACAAAAGTGTCCTTCGATAGATGATTGGATAAAAAATACGTGGTACAGACGCGTGCACAGCGGAATGCTGCTGAGCCGTAAGAAGGGACGAAACCCTGCCCTTTGCGACAGCAGGGTGGATCTACAGACTAGCATGCGGAGTGAAGCGAGCCAGGCGGGAAGTCAAGAACAAAACGATTTCACTCACGTGGGCCGTGAAACTGAAAGCAACCGATGAACAACGAAGACAAGGAAACAAAAACTTAAAGATAAAGACCACAGTAGGGTGGTTGCCAGAGAGAAAGGGGGGTGGGGAAGGTACAAAAGGCCCAGGGGCCCAAATGCATGGCCGGAAGGAGACTAGGCTTTGGGCGGCGAGCACACGCGGAATATACAGATGACGTATCACAGAATTGTACACCTGACACCTCTATCCTTGTATTAACCAATGTCACCCCAATAAAGTTAATACAACTGAAATGCAAGATGAGATAGAAAATGGAGAACTGAGAATCTCAATACCCAGGATCTCACAGATTCAGCTCGTGAAAGTCTCTGAGACATGAGAAAATAACTATATCACCAAAACGGTCCTAAAACTTTCCCTTGACATTAAATTGATCAAGAAGCACTCCCACCCTCGATTCCACGAATAGGTAATTTAAGTTACACTCTGAAAATATCATCAGGTTTCAGGGAAAGACAAGAATAGCTTTAACCATGGTGAGAATGTGGGGACGTCCCTGAGTAAGTGGACGCAACTTCATGGGTAGACACCACACAGTGTCGACCAGCCCACGGACCCTCAAATCCAGATGCTAGATCAGCTTCAGCACAGCTGGGATACCCTCAGACCAGTGGATGTGAATCCACACACACCTGGAGGAATATATCTGCTCTGGGGCTCTTAGAAATATTCCGCACAATCCCAAGAGTTTGCCTGAGTGGAAGTGGTTCTGAGGAGTTAGCCCACATAAACTCAAACATCTGCAGGGCTTCAAATGGGACTTTTGGGCTCAGTGAGAATCTTGGGAAAACGGTAGAGTATATGGAGAGGGTAAGGGCTCTGGGGCAGGCATTCAGGCCATAAAATGTGATTGACAGCTTACTCGGTGCCCGGAACCCTGGTATCAAACCTTAGTCCTGTCCCTAATTAACTGTCTTTTTTTTTTTTTAATCTCACTGAGTCTCAGTTTATTCATCTGTAAAATGGACTCAGAGTAGATGATCCTATAATGGTACAATTATGATCACCAAAGATTTTCCTGATGCTGCATATTTATAACCAGATCAAATTCAAGCTTCTCTGGCCAGTCAGACTGGGCCCCATAATGAAACGACTGCTAGGAAGTCGAGAAATATGAAACCCACAGAGTTGGATTTAATAAAAAATCAGCAAGATGAAGGCTGAAAAGATAGGATCCCGTTAAATAGGTAAGTAAAAGATAATAAAAGTAAAAAAATCAGGAATGACAGGGAAATTTGTAAATGAACTACAAATGAAAGCCTCTTATTTTTTAATGACAAACGTAACTGTGCTTTTTATGAGGTTCCGTGTACATTGTAAGACTTTTTCACTGGTATTACCTTTAACGCTTCAATAACCGCCGCTGGGTAGCTCAGTCCAACCATGTTTGATGTCCGCCTATACATTCTGGCAAAGTCAGAGAGGGAGAAAATGCAACATCATATCTTACAGAGAAGAATCAGCAGCTACGGACTCTACCGAGTACTGACAAATAATGAGAAGTCGTGTCACCTGGCGACCCAAGGAACCTAAAACTTCTTATATCCCTTTCCATAGTCACTCAAGCGGCCTACGNACCGAGTACTGACAAATAATGAGAAGTCGTGTCACCTGGCAACCCAAGGAACCTAAAACTTCTTATACCCCTTTTCATAGTCACTCAAGTGGCCTACATGTAAAATTCAAAAGAAATTAACACAACCCCAAACACAGGAACTGTTGAAAACACGAAAGGGTTCATCTATGTGGCTCAAGTTGGAAATTAAGTTGTTCAAGAGGCTTCTGGCCTCTCTGCCAGAAGCGAATTATCTTTCCGCAGAGACAGTGTGCAGGGCAGGACCTGGACGGAGGGCTCCTATGGGCCACCCATTTAAAGAGCTGGTCTTCAGCACCGCCAGAAACAAGCAGGGACGCGTCCCAGGTGAACTGTGGCACGTCTAAAACCTGTAATCGTACAGCAGGATTATGGGAAGACTAAACCCATTTTTACAATAAGGATTAGAGGAACAATAATTCCACTTCTGGAACCTATTTCCAGGGAAGGGGGGCAACGCAATTTCAAAGAATAAAATGCCTAACGGAACTGGAAAGTTCCATGGGGAGCTCAACCCCTTTCAATGAGCTGCCCTCCCAGGTCAACGACTGTCCCCGGCCTGTCCCAAATGCAGGCCATCAACCACATGTGTCAAAGGGCAATAGACTCGATGACGTTCCTTCTTACAAACTGAGAGACTGACTCAAACCCAGTCTTCTCTACTTAACAAGAAGAATCTGAGCAGAGGCAGAAACTTGACCTAAAGATGCTACAGGGGGTAAAGGAGCTATGTTTCTGCCATCTCTCACTCCAGACTACCTGCTTCCACGCAGAATCTGCAGGATTTATATAGACATCAAAACTACAGCAAAGCAAATCTCCCGGTGTTTGGAGGCGGGTGTTCCTCGGGTCATCGAATGGGTGACAGCCGCCTTTACCTCTCCACGAATATCCCGGCCTGCACCGCGTGCACGATGCTCTTGAACCTCGGCTTCTCCTCGCTCCGCCGCAGCATCATCCCCATCTGGCGCGTGAAGGTGGAGGCCAGCCAGTCTCGGACCTCGGAAGGCACCGCGTCTGACTGGATGTCGCTGAGCTCGTCCTCCGTGTCCAGGAGTCGCCTGGACACAGGGAACACAAGCCAGACACTGAGATGCAACCTGAAGGGAGGCCTCTCTGTTCAGAACCTGCACACCCAGGTGCAAAGAAGCCAAATTAAACTGGCCACAAAAAACACAGCACCTTTCAGGGAAGGTTCTCAGAAGCTCACCATTTGCCCTGCAGGAATGCCTTTTCTACAATTTCTGTTTCAGGATGGCTCTCTCTACCAGACTGGACAAAGGAGCTGAGCCAGAGAAAGTCAAATATAGTCCATTTCAGGCTCTGTCACTTTCAGACCCACCGCACTCAGGAGCAGCCAGTATCTTTATTCCCAGGATTGCGGCATTTGAATGGGCTCTAAACCTTCCATTGAAAAATGCTTTCACAGGGAGGTTTACTGCATAGATGGGCCATGTGGCATTATTTTGTTTGTTTGTTTTTTTAACTGACATTTAAAGACTTTGCTACAGGCAATAATACTGTATTATAAACTTCCAAGTTGCTAAGAGACTAGATCTTAATTGATTCCACCACAAAAATACAATGATAATTATGTGATGTGTGAAGGTGTTAGCTAATGCGATGGGGCAATCATGGTGCAATATATAACTATATCAAATCAACACACTGTACGCCTTAAACTTCACAAAGTTATATGCCAATTATATTTCAATAAAATTAAGCTTTTTAAAGAAAAATAAATAGACTATAAAGTATTGCTCAAATCACATCAGCCTAAACAGTGTCAACTGCTGGTTTGATAGGCCATCACAGAAATTTAAGTATCAAAATTCAAGCAAAATTCCCAAAATAATAGAGCTGTATTTGAGCCCAGAGATTGGAGTCATGTCTCAGGTGTGCTTAGCTGATTTTTCAAACTTGTTCACAGGTCAGACCACTAGAACAGAACATAAATAGCACTAAGGTGCATAAAACTTAAAATTGTACTTTATACTTATATGAAGCCCTACTAAAAATAAGGAGTCAAAGGTGTCAATGAAAAGATTTTCCCCCCTTTAGACACATCACTTGGGGGAAGGGGAGAAAGTATAACATTTGGGGGGAAAAAACTATGATATCAAATTTCCTTAAGTTAGCAGCCAAGCATGATACGAAAAACTAAGCCACACAATTCCCAGATCACCGGGAAATCCTCTCCGCTGGAATCGGGCACAGGGACGTCGGACGGCACAAGTGCTGACACAGAAGCCCGTCTCAATTTCCCAAAGAAGGGAAGGAAAGCCCTTCACAGTCATCACTGCGACATTTTTCAAAAGAAAAGCAATTTCGTTGTTTTCAAATGCATTTAGTAACTGGAAGCACTTTAATACTTTTGGGTAATTCAAGCGCAAAGAGTCTGCTAAGAAAATCAAGGGCACACTTAAGACCGAAGGAGGCACACGAGGCGCCTCAGGGAACAAACTCTCCGCCTGCTCCAGACCCCCGCTCACAGGTCCTGGAACTACCGCGGCTCGGAGCGCGCACGGGCCGAACCACGTGCGGGCATCCTGGTGGCGGCCTGCGTTGGACTAAGGGAGCCTTTGCCCCCTGACACAGCCTCACGTCACTGTCATCGCGGCCACGTGAGGTCACGTCTATCAAACGCTCCTTTGAGGGCCCACGCGGCCCAGAGGAAAGGGGAAGCTCAGAGCCACCCCCATCTGACTGTGGGGACGAAAGCTCCGAGGCCGGTCATCAGAATGCCACCCTGCCTGTGCCCCGGGGTCGTTTCAGAAGAGCCATGTGACAGGAAAGTCACCATCACCCTTGTCGCTTGCGGCTCACCTGGTTTCATCGATGTACACGGACTCAAGCACTGCGGCTGCATATTCCAGATTCTTCTTAAGATCTACCACCGAAGCCTCCCCTCTCTCTAATTGTTTGACCAAAGACCGTAACCTGGGGGGAGGGAAAAAAGACATAATTCAATTAGAATAAAGGAAACAAGGGATAATTCGACAATTACAGTGGCACATTTCACAGCATTCGATATTTTTATGTAGCCCAATACATCGAAAAGGAAAATGCGAAGCTGATGATGGAGCCCACCGGTATTTCTCAAGGAGCAAGTTATAAAATAAACGCCCCCATTTTTGTGAAGCGAAAACAAAAATGTTCTACTCCACTAAGCACTGACCACCCCCAACACTTTCTAGCCTCTTTTTGTGTTTCCAGGGTTCCCTGAGTTACCACCGGTTTTGCCCTAACTGGATGCAGTAAAGCACGACCAGGTTGAGATTCTGCTGCGTTGACCCTGCTTTGTTCACGGTGACCGGGGAGAGCAGCAGCCTCCTGGGCCACGGCTGCTCCAGGACAGGCGAGCAGATCAAACCACCAAAATAACCTTAGAGCCCACAAGGTGATGTGGAGGCAAACTAGTTCCCTGGACAGAACTCTTCCTCTAAGGGCAGATAAACTGCCTTNGGACAGGCGAGCAGATCAAACCACCAAAATAACCTTAGAGCCCACAAGGTAGACGTGGAGGCAAACTAGTTCACTGGACAGAACTCTTCCTCTAAGGGCAGATAAACTGCCTTGTTCAAAAAACCGACAAACATGAGGATGGTGATAAACCAAGGTGCTGAGGACAAGGCCTTCCCCGCTGCTAGCCAAGGCTTCCAGAGAGTGAGAGAAATGACAAAGCGCGCTCTCCTCGGAGGACTTCGCAGGGAGAGCCACAAAAGGCCACCAGGCGGTCAAAGTCCAGGAGCTGAGAACACTACACACCACAGAGATCTGGAGACAGGACAACACTTCAGACAGACAGCCATCAAAGAAAAAGAAAAAGAGCGGAAACTTTGAGGATAGTTCACAACGAATGGGCTACGCAATACCAGGCGAGTTATTTAACGTCTATGGGTGTCGGCTATAAATGGAGATCCAACCGCCCAATTTCCTAGCTTTCTGTAAATGTGAAATCACACTGATATTGATACAGTCACATCAACTGTGTGACCCACTGTTGGTTTTTCCTCCCACCTTTATTGAGATATAATTGACATATCACATTGTGTAGGTTTAAGGTGTACAATATGGTGATTTAATACATGTATATCTTGGCAAATGATCACCACAATATGGTTAGTTAGCACATCCATCACCTCGCATAGTTACAATTTTTGCGTGTGTGGTGAGAATATTTAAGATTTACACTCTTAGCAACTTTCCCGTATACAATACTCAAAACCAGCACTTGCTAACTCGTCCCCATGCTGCACATGAGATCCCCAGAACTTATTCATCTTATAACTGGAAGTCTGTGCTCTCTGACCAACATCTCCTCACCTCCCGGTTTTCTTTTATAAAGGCAACTGTTATCATTATAGTCACTGTCATTATTTGGTGACCAGATGAGAAACATTCTGGCAGGATCCTTAAGATTATTATCAAGTCTCCATTTCCCAAGGCTGAGCCCACCTTCCTGACTTCAAAATACCCTCAGACTGGCATTCACAAGAGAGAACAGTTTGATTTCTTGGCAAGATGTAAACTGCTCCCCTCCAGATCCACATGAAATGAGCAGGCATAAAAAAGGAAGGAAACACTCTGGATCAACCTTCAAAAGTAGGCGAGAGGGTCAGCCGTACAAAAGAAATTCCCAGGAACTTCCATGATGTAAAATACGGAGGAAATTCGACTTGAGACATCACCTGACTTGTGCATCTCTGACATGCAAAGGGACATATGCAAAGGACACAAGCAGAGGCCTCTGCCCCCTTGGAGGTGAGGTGGGCCCAGGGGCCCCCGTCAGCAGCATTAGGAGGTGCTCTGGGTTTCAGAGGCAACGCGGGACAGGGAGCTGGCAACCAAGGACTTAGAGACACTCACACACCGGAGACAGACAGCCTGCCAAGGAGTGAGAGATTGCAGGGGCGAGCCCGAGAGCTGCTCCGAAAAAGGAATGGAAGCTCTTCAGCAAAACACATTCCCGGGGAAGTCTGCCTCTAATTTTCACTCTCACCTCCAGGGGCCCAATTACCCTCAGGTTGTTTGGACTGGCAACTGGTAAAGTAAATCGAGGGTAAATTTAAACTTTTTTATTTCTCCCTTCACTGGGGGCTTCAAGTTCCTGCCAGGAACGCGGTGAATCTCTAATAAGACTCATCTCAATTTTCAAAACCTCAGAGAAAAGAACAAGACGTAACAAATGGTGAGGGGAAACGAAGACCAACAGAAGTGGGAACCAGGTGGGCCTGCCCACTGGTGACAGGGCTTCCACAAGAAACAAACACACACAAGCGGCTTTGATCAAGTAGGTTTTCCTGGACCGAGGAAAAACCTTTATGAATGGATGAAAGGTGACCAAATAAAACCAAAGAAAAAATAAGCGAAAGCATCTAACGTATGCTGTTGTAATTGTTTATTTCAAAGAATAAAGAAAACAACTTGAAAGTCTTTGAGAAAATAAAATACATTATTTAAAAATAAAGAAAATTCAATCTGGCCCCAGACTCCTATCCTACCAAAAATCAGAAAGCCAATTTAACAATAGCAATTGTTGAAAACAATATGGTATAATTCAAGATATCTATATTTATATTTCATAGAATCAGCATGTGTATGTGAAGCCAACAAGTATATTCTCAGGTGTGGACAAATTCAAACTTTCATCATTAAAATGCTTTTCAGAAAACATGAACTTTAAGGCATACTCTCTGACAGTGATCTTTTCTGGGTAAATCTCCAATTAATTGTGGATTCACGACATAGATTTAACCAAGCCAGCCTTCACAGAATAGACAAGTAGTTTAGAAAGATTAAAGAAGCGGCAGATGAAATATAATGCTAATTATACAAAGACAAGTTAGCTTGAAAATGACTGACACTTCTTTTCCTGAGACAAGTTCCTAGGTCACTTTTTCTATTATAAGTTAAAACCATCAAACATATTGTTTGTAAATGCCACGTATTTGAGACAGAAACCAACGCCTCCTCCCTCACATTCTCACTTCACTTGTATTTCACAAAAGTGCTTTAGGGCTTAGATTTCTAGCACCTGCATGGAAGGGACAGACAGGAGGAAGCCCCAAAGGCCCGCGGAGTCCATTCCCAGGCCAGGGCATGACCCCAGGCTAACACACCCACCGCATGCTGAGCACCTAGACATGCCCAGGGACACACACCCATGAACGAGGGGGTCAGGCCCCACAGTACCAGTGCCATTCATTTCTCAAAGAGCCGCTTCAAACCCTCACTCTGACTCTATTTGACAAGCTTAAGGACGCTACTTAAAAACTGATTACAATCAGTCGAATACAAATAAAATGATTAAGAACGTTATATATGGGCTATCACTTAATATCCACCCTTGTTAACAATCCCAATTCCCACTCCTGGGGAAGCACAACACTGGGGACATTAAGTCATGAAGAAACTCATGTCTCTTGTGATCCGGCCGCCAGGACCCCAGGCCGGCAAGAGTGGTGCTCCCAGGGAAAGCATTACTGTGAACCCTCTCAGCATTTCAGATCAGCTGCTCTGAAATCATCGTCCCCAGAAAGTCCCCCACTTTGTGCCACAGTGAGCAGAAATCAGCCGTGTGGGGCTCCCCCTGATGTGGTCACCAGTAGTGCCAGACGCTGGGCACGGCCACATTTATGTAACCAGTGTGTAGGTCTGCCCTGGCAGAAGGCTGGAGACAGAAGCACACAGTGGCGTCAACACACCGAGGGAAGAAATGACACCGAGTAAAGCACCTTTGGATGCGTAAGTGGCACCAAAAACTCAAGTCTACTCCCCCCCTTCTAGCTCAGGAGAGGAGCAGAAGACTCTGCCAACACGCTGGCGGACAGTGAGGGGGACCTCGGACAACACCCAGCCCACAGTCGCCACCCTTTATTCACGGACAACTGAACAGGGGAAAAAAACTCTGAAAAGATTCAGCAATAAGGGAGCAGAGAAATCAGCGCTCAAATGCAGAGAAAGACTCACTTTTCAAAAGAAAATTCACGGAAAGAAACAAATATATTTTAGGGAGCATCTGTCCGCGTTATGTTCAAGGCAATTCAGGAAAACCGATGTGTGAAACAGGTGAAAGCTGAAATCGTAATGTAATAAAAAGCAAACATATTGAGAAGGAAGAAATTAAAAAGAAAGAAAACATAGCAATATAAACACTATATAAACTTTTTTAAAAAAAATAAATGGTGCCCTGGCCGGTGTGGCTCAGTGGTTAGAGAGTCAGCCTGTGCCCCAAAGGGTCTCGAATTCGATTCCCGGCCAAGGGCACATCCTTGGGTTGCAGGTTCGATCCCCAGCCCTGGTCGGGGTGCGTGTGGGAGGCAACCAACCGATGTGTCTCTCTCACATCGATGCTTCTCTCTCTCTCCCTTCCTCCCCTC